GGATGTACACACGGCCGATTTTTGCTGAATTTCCAGTGCAGGCTTGCCAATAGATGCACATACACAGCGCAAATGTCCAAAATCTCAGCGCTGGAACGGATAAATTAAAAAACGGAACTTACTTAAAAAACATGCCTTGTAATACTGTGCTGATACATAACTTCAACAATAATTTGTGATTTACTTTCAAACATGGTTAGATAATATTGTAAGTAATTGCTGAAAAAAAAAATAAAACATTTCAGTGTTCAGTAATCAAAAGTTTACATTGTCACGGTACTGTAAAATTGATTACCTTATTTTTCTGACTTCATTCTTGAAGTAAATGCTTATATATTCATTCTATGTACATTTCTCCAGCTTGTGTGGTATCTTTAGGGGTCTTCCATCTTATTATCTTCTATAGAAGATGAAAACATAGAACACCTTGAAGATGCCACACAATATATATATATATATATTTCAACCTTAAGCTCAGAACAAAGGCAACAAAATAATGTAATTAATATTAATTTGAGTTCTTGAGACTAGAATAACTAAAAATTCACTATTAAATTACCTAAGGCCATATTTTTGAGCTCTTTTTTTCCAAATTTTAGTAATACAGTATCAACATCAAAATCTCATTTAACTGGAAAATACAACATCATTGATTATGTTTTTGTACATATGAAGATAAAGAGTGAATATACACTGGTTTTCAGTATAATAAAGGTCCTATAATCAGTGCTCAATTTGAAAGGGAACGCGGCGGAACAGAGTTCCTGTACCGCTCTTTCAGAAAGATAAAAATATTGGCATAAATAGGTAGTAATCACAAATAGGTTACAGTTCCTGCACCTTATTTTTTTACAAATCGAGCACTGCCTATAATAGTTGATACAATGTTGCCAAATTCCAATTGAATTACGAGGGTTGTTTTTTTTTCAACCTCCGATAGGCTATGAACAAAAGACAAGTTCATATAAAACATTAAATTTACTACCATAAGTTTGGTCCATTTATGGTTACTTTTTGACATAATCACAAAAGAGATTGAGACATTTGCTATATCTGTGCACCAGCTTTTTAATACCCCCTTCAAGAAAAGTGGCCGCCAGTACATTCCAAAAAACAAAAAAAAATCAAAAAACAAAAAAATGCCAAAAAACCTAAAAAATCAAGAAAAAATAAAAAGGACTTTAAAATGTCTAGAAATTCAGTAAGCAAATCAATAATGGTGAATCTGTGGTTTATTTAACCATTCTGCCAACTTGTTGAACCAGCTCAATACTGTCGTTTCAGATGACTTGGTTCAACAGTTTGACAGGATGGTTAAATAAACCACAGATTCACCATTATTGCTTTGTTTACTAAATTTCTAGAAATTTTAAAGTCCTTTTTTTATTTTTTATAGATTTTTTTATTTTTTTGACATTTTAAGTTTTTTTGAATTTTTTTGTTTTTTGAATGTACTGGCGGCCACTTTTCTTGAAGAGGGTATTAAAAAGCTGGTGCACAGATATAGCAAATGTCTCAATCTCTTTGGTGATTATGTCAAAAAGTAACCATAAATGGACCAAACTTTTGGTAGTAAATTTAATGTTTTATATGAACTTGTCTTTTGTTTATAGCCTATCGGAGTTTGAAAAAAAACAACCCTCGTAATAACAGTAATAACTACCTGTAATATTTTTCCATTGATATAATTTTTGTAACTTAAAAAACACTTCTCTCATTTTTATGACACATTTCTGACAAAGAGCTAACTACACCAAGAAAGACTACACATTTCTGAAAGAGCAAAGAGCTAACTACACCATGAAAATCACTACTACAATACCATTTTGGACATTAAAGATTACAGGAAAGTTTTCAATCAAATATTCAAATTCAATTTTGCAATCAGGAAGGAAAGGAAAATTGTGCAAACATTAGCGGCTGGTCAAGTTAGAGTAGTGGCGCTTGCAGCCAAAATTATCTGTAAATAAAATGAGCTTACACGTCAAATCGAGGACACTGTTTTGACGTAATTAACCGATTTCGATTTGAATATAGCTTAGTGAATCGGTGGTTTCATGTTGTGTTTTAATGTGTTCAGGATTTATGTGACCCTACCCAGTTTCCTAGAGGAGTTTTGGTCAGCCCTTTTATTTCAAAATTTGACGTATACGATTGCCTATCCTGAGGTAGCTTTGCTGTTAATATACTAATGCTTTCTCACAGATGGGACGTGAGACGCTATTCCTCGGGCGTCACCACTTACGTGAGCCTAAGTGTTGCTTGCTTCAGTCCTGTCCTACTAACAATGCTCAATGCTCATGTCATCCCATCCATTTCACAATGACAAATATTTCTATGTGGTTTTTGTGTTTTGTGATTGTACACACATTTTCGTGTCTATGTGTATATTGTACTGTATTTCAGAGCCGGAATGGTAACTGTATTAACAACACTAGTAGAATAAATCGCAATTGTAGTAGGTTTTGATAATTTACCATGAATAGGTGTGGTCTTAATTAAATTCTACTGAATCTGAATAAAAGTTGTTTGATTATGGATGATTTAAAGTCTTTGGCAGTTCAGATTTTTTTAAATCAAGTGGAACGGTTAAAATATACTATTGAATTAATCCTTAACTCATAAACATTAACTAATTTTAATTTTACAGCTGTTTACCTATTTGTTTAAATATCAAGAGTATAGTACCTTTTACTATATAAGGTCAATGTAGGAAAATTTAAAAACCTATCCAGTAGTTTTTTCATACCTACCGTAATTTTTTTAAAAATATCCTTATATTATTAATGTTTTAGTTTTTTTATAGATATTTTAGCAAATTAAATGGTTTATGAAAGCTCAACATAATATTTATTCTCAAAATATAAAATAAATAAACAAAAATCATAGGACAGGGGAAAAAATTCAATGACAGTATTCTTCCCCCCTCCCTTAAAAAAAATAAATTTGATAAAAAGCACTACTTTCAAAATTTAAGTTACAGAATAACACGTTTTTGAAGTACCTACTAAAATGTGTAAATAGTTTTTAAAACTCATAAAATAATTAACTTATTCTCTTAAATTATTTTGTCTATTAATCCAGGGGAAACCAATTCTCTATGTTTAACATTTTCTATGCTCTTGTAACTAATAATGACACTTAGAATTTGTAAAACTTATCTGTAAAACTCTAATGCTGTTAAAAATGTGTCTAACAATTACTGTTTAACACAAATAACTGTGGTAACTATTTGTAATTTGAAATTATTATCTGCTTTGTCCCTGCTTCGCTTAACTTTCGGGATAGGCAATGGATTAAATTGTAAATTGTGTAATATATTCTATATGTTCTTCATAGCTCTTCAAACGCCCAGTTTAAAGGTAAGATCGTATATAAAAAACTAATGTGCTCCACACAAATTTGGTGTATAAATATTTTTGTAATTATTTAATGAAATGTTAAAAAAGGATCAGTTATTGTATGTATATTTTCATCACCAGGAAATCATAATGAAATAACTTACACATTTAAACTAATTTATTCCATCTTAAAATCCTACTTTAAGTTAGGAAACTTTTTACATATACTAGGTCCAAATACCTACTTGATAACCTCCGGTTCCACATTCCTTACCTGATTTTTTTTTATTAAAATAGTCTTTATGTTTAGAAAAAGTGGATTTTTCATATCATTCCTAGTATAGGTAAATAGAATTGATTTTTGTGTTTTGTATGTCTGTTTTTGATTCTTTTGTATTTTGTTTTATTTAGTGTAGTAGATAAGTGTGTTACGACTGTATTTTAAGCAATGTGGTATTTTGAGTATGTTTTTGTCATCACCCAAAACATATGTTATAGTGGTTGGATTTCTTGTTAATCGTAAATAGGCATATTTTCCTTCAAGAATATTGTTTAAAAAATGTTTTTGTGAGTCGGTGGCCCAGTCGGTGTTGTGGGTTTGTATCTTGGCACCTTCCATTACTTTGGATCAGTACAGTTCACCCTTGTACTGTACCAGCTCACCCCTTGCTTCGCTGGATATGTTCCATGTACAGGCCTCTGTGACTCATTTGCAAGGGCAAATGCAGAATAAGAAGGCCTCTAACCTTTTTAAAAACTCCTTAAGTCACCAATTGTGTTTTAAAATCAAAGACACCCATGTAGGGTTGAAGAACAAAAGGTAATCTGTCAGCTGAACCAGGATATTCGAAATACAGTAGGAGAAAACATGTTTAAAGAATAAAATATGTTGGTTCTAGTAATTAGATCATTCGTATGTACATAAATTTTCTGTGAGTTACTTGTTATTTTTACTTTTTTATATTTAAGGTCCAGAAAGTTGGGATTTATTTTTTCTCCACTTTATACATCACTTTTTATTCCCTAATTCACACCTCCTATTTCACTTTCGGCTATCATCTTTTTCTCATTTAACAACAAAATGTTCAGCTTAATACAGCTGTTTTGTTAATAGTTGTCTTTCCTAACTGCATGGTAGACGTAAGGATGTTTTGTGTTTAGCTTAGACGTGTTGTCTTCTAACCCTGTCTCATACTCTTTTGGTAGTTTGTTGTACTTATATCTTGTTGTACATAGATTAAGTGTAGAGTGAATTTTAAGAAATTGAACTGTATAATATATAGACAATTCTTGTGATAGTCTTTGAAAGATTGTGCTAAGTTTAAAAATACAATTTTTTCACCATACTCTATTTTAATCTAGATATGAACAATTATTTTGAAAATGTTTGACTTTTTTTAAACAGGAATAAAAAAAAATAACTTCATTACTCTTAGTTTTTTAAGTCAATTGCAAAAATAGCCAGTAGTTTCGGTTTTATGTTAAAAATAATCGATCATAAATTGAAATCAAAACAAGTTCTTGTTTGCTAGTTTAAACTATTACCAATTGCAAATAACAGTTATAAAATCTCTTGTTTGTAAATTTCTGTTAGGGAGTTAATGCACATCCTAATTCAGTTCTTACCTCTTTTTAACGCCATTCTTGGGTTTATTTTAGATTGCAGACCTCAACAGCCAAGTCAACGACCTGAGAGGCAAATTGTAAGTAAAACAAAAAATAATTACAATTGTTATAAGCATTCATAAAATAATTTATGCTAATTTTACATCACAATAGATAGTGCTGGTATAAGGTATGGACTTGTTTAGTAAATATTAATTTTATCTTTGTTCGCAGAGATTCAAATATCACAGATACTATGAAATCACTAAATTTATCCTATCCTCGCTCATTCTCAGTCTCAAATTAGTCAGCTTGTTTGAAATAGATCTCATGCAAAGTACATGAATTTGTTGAAAAAAAGGTTTCTGGTCGATTTTGAGAAAAGTCAAAAACTTTTTGATTGTTCTAAACTGGGCCCATCTGTCCCTTGATCATTGGCCAAAGAAACAGCTGATCTGGCACAACAGATGTCAGATGAACAAGTCTGGTTGTGGGAGCCAGTTGCAGAATGCTCACTGTCTAAAATTCTATTTTCTACCTTATTTTTTGTTGCTGACATAGTCGATGGGTCATAACACTTTGCTATAGCTCACAATAAGTCATTCCATCAGTTTGACGTGGTAAAACAATTTGTGCATTCGACAGAAATCAATTATTTAGATCAGCAAAATCTGTCACTATCTCACATCAACTACGCCGATAAAAAAAAAAAAAAAATAGTCTAAGGTGATGCACTCATCCTTTACTAATGTATGGGCATATCCATTTCAATTGGTAATAATAACTAACAACAATTAAAAAATCACTTTTTTAAAACATGAATGATTTTTTCACAGTGTTAAGCCTACACTGAAGAAGGTTTCCAAATATGAAAACAAATTCGCCAAACTGCAAAAGAAGGCAGCAGAATTCAACTTCCGTAACCAACTGAAGGTTGTCAAGAAGAAGGAATTCACCCTTGAAGAAGAAGACAAGGAGGTAAAACATTTAATTTCTTAGTCATATCATAAATTGCACTTTGTAACTTGACTTTATGAACAGTTTTTTTTTGCATATAGGATTTTGGCTGCCGGCTCTCCGGAATCAACACAATTCCATCGATTTGGAGGAAAATGGTGTTTGGTACACTTTGTTTACATTGCACTCTACATCATTTTTTCCGTCTTCTCTTTTTGGAGTGCCACAATGAAGTAAAACAGTCATTGACTCATTCCTGAAGGAATAAATCAGTAATTATATTTTAGAAACAAAGCGATATACCATAAACATAGTTATGAATCAATCTAAAGCTATATAGGTTGATTACTCTGAGTTCCACTAATTTAAATTGAATATCATAAGAGAAAATGAACATTTTTGAACTAAAACCAATGTGGATTTTCAGTGTTATTATAACATTTTTATATCTTATAGAATTTTTTTTACGGAAGTTGGCTTTTCTGTGTTATGTAGAAAAATTAAAAAGCTATCTAAATCTTTTTGGATTATTGCTTACTATGATGTTAATCAAAACAAAATATTTCCTAAAACTTAACTCATAGAAACCTTTTTCATACGATTTAAAATCATACAAATATTAACAGATTGAAAAATATTTCACAATTTTAATCAAATTTTTCTAGATATCTGAACATTTTTAATCTGCACATTGCTTGAAATCAGACCACTATAGATGTAATATTTCCACTCCTCAATATTCAATTAGATAATTCCTCCAACTACATAACACTACATAGGTGTTTTCAATTTCATCTTTTCTCTTTGGCTCAAGGTTTTGTAAAGTAGTTATTGGAACTGAAGATCTTTTGTAATCCGCAGCCCAAGAAATCCGAGAAAGCAGAGTGGCAGAAGAAGTGAACTTCGCCCCATCATCTTGCCAACTTTTATCTGTTATATGTGGACTTTACAAAATTACAGTTTATTTTATAAATAACTTGTATTCCAACCCTAAATAAATATGTCTGTGTGGTCGTTCAACCCAAGTGACTGTCATACCTTCTCATGTTTTTGTCGTTTTAAATATCACGATTTAACTTTTAAATGCCTCATGTGATTTTTAACCTGCGTACAGTTAAAGTTGATTTTTGTAAAATTGCTTGGTAGGAAAAAATAAAAGCAGAAATTTAGCTCAAATAGTTTATTTTTGGTTCTAAAAGATAAAAGTTTCCTAAACATTTTAGCATGTTTGGCATACAAAGTTAAATCGTGACAAAAACCTAACTAATAATTTTTGTGTTTTGTCCGTTTCAAAATTAACTTTTTCCTTTAAAATGTTGTGTCAGTCTTTACGCAGCTAATAAACATCAATACTTTTTTACACAACACTTTTTACATTTTAATATAATTTGCAAACCGTAATGTTTAAAACAAACAAATAACGTACAAGTATTGTTACACACGACTGTAATAGTCAATGGATTTCACTGGTAGGTCAGCGAATCACACACAAGCACAATATATGTTTCCCGAGGTGAGACTCATTGTTTTTCTGCACGTACATGTTTGATAGCAGCCGACTGTGTTGATGTGGTCGCTTCATAAACTTCAGCCTAATACTCTTCTGTGCCCAATGCTTGACTGTTGCAGTCTTATACTTGTCTAACCTTTGGTAACGTCTCTTTCTGCAGTCTTCGAGGCTTCAGCTTATACTGTCTTGTGTCATTTTCCATTTTTATTTTTCAGGTGATTTTTTCCAGTTTGGAGTAGCCTCATCGTTGTATATTCATTTATCAAGCTTTTATTGATGTTTATATTTTCAACAGATTTTGTTTCTTGGTATTTTTAATTCTATTGAATAACTAATATTAAGCTAATGTTGCGCTATATTGTCTATAATTATTTTGTATTTTGTGTTTTGGATTATTTTACTTTGTTTACTATAAAGCTCTCGAAGATAAATTGTACATAGCTTTTCATGTGTATAAAAACATTATTGAGTGGAAATATAGACTAAAAACAGAACTTATTTTATCGTAGGAATAACAATTAACTTAATTTCTTTTGGAAATTATTATTTTTATAAATACTATTGTATAAATTAAATTGTTAGCCTTTATTATTAACACTTTGAATTTAGTTTGTTGCTTTTAAAATTGTATTTATCAATAAATATAAGTACTGTACTTATTTATTTTATTATTCAAGTTGGCATCAAAACTATTAAAACATTACAATAGTGCTATGAAAATTTATTAAATAATGTTTTATTCAATCTTAGCTTCATGAAAAAAGGTGGAGGAAGTAAGCAAAATATTCTTCATTGAAAAAATCACATTAAAAACAAAAAGATTTTTAATTCTCTTAACATTGATTATTTTAGGATAATCTTTAAGTAGTAAAAAAAGAACAATTTCATTTAAAAAATTGCTCATTCATACACTATTTTCCTAAATTAGAAATAATTAATTGTGGTAGATAGCAGTATTGGCCTAAAAGGTATTAGACTTTCTATAAATACAAACTTTAAAGTCAATTCTCCGAGGAAATATTTTGTATGGAGAAAATAATAGATAATTTCTGACCATTTGATCCACAAAACTGTTTCAATCCTAACCGTCATTATTATGTTCTTCATGGTAAATTAATCCACTTGTAAAATGAAGAAAAAATATTGTTCATAAATTAACAATGGCTAAAAATTAATCTTCCAAAGATAACATCAACGTAACCAAACGTTTAGTCACTGTTTTCAACGATTATAGATTATGAAAGTCTATTAAACACTACCTCCACAAGTAAAAACTGGTGATTAAAACATTAATTAATGCAAACAATCTTATTTTTCAGAAAAAGTCCATCGTCGACTTCAAGAAGGACGAAAAGAAGGTAGTTGAAGCGGAAGCATAATGCTCTAACAATTCTACTCTATAATTTATTTACCAATACAAATTATGTTTAAGTAACAAACTTATTAAGTAATTCCATCAACACGTAAGTCAGAACAGCATTATGCCCTTAGACCATCCAAATGTAAATGAATCAGCTCTCAGTACGTGTATATAAATATTTTTGTATGTGTCGTTTTAGTTGCATGTTCGCCCATGCCTCCTATTGGTTTTGTATCTTCGACCGTAATGTATGATTGACACCAGCATGCAAATAAATATATTCGAAACAAAGAGTCAATTTTGTAGTCCTATTACCCCTGTCCTTAGTGGAAAGTATAAAGTAAGTAGCCTACAATATGTCTTTACAGTATGTAAATAGTATGTCCTAAAAGTAGAAACATTGAAAATGTGTTGTCTTTGTCTATGAGAAGTGAGTGGTTTGACAGTTTGAAATTTAATAAAGTTGCTGTATCAATAAGTACCCAATAGTAGAGTCAATTTTGTTTAAACTCAAAGTAGAAAACTGTTGTTTTAAGAATGAAGTTTTACTTGTTTTAACTACTAATGAGGCATTTTGTCTTATAGTTCTGGGTGAGTGTTTAGTATGGATTGAACGTAAATGTTTTACTAGAAGTATTATGTCATGATGTTAATTATTACAACGACCGTATGCTGTCAGCTCTAGTATGCTGTGACCGGAAATATACTTGTGACGAGCAAGGAAGAGCCTAAACGTCGAGCAGTGTGCGGAAATTCCTATCACACATTGCAAAGGGTCTTCTTCCACTGTGAGCGTTGTAGTACATGAGGGCGAGGGAAGAGTTGGACCCTGCCCTAGACACCAGCAACTAGAGCTAGATACCACTTAAGTGTACAATTAAATGTTTCTTCTCTACCTATTTCTCTGTGATGTTAACAAGTCAATAAGCAGGGTGTCTACCAGTTCAGAAGTAACTGAAAAGTAACACATTTTAATTTTAACACGTTCGCAACCGCAATAGTGAAAAAATTTTCATTCATATAGACCAGTGACGCACATATGCGACGGCCGGTTTCCACCCATAGACTGCCGTCGTATATATGCGACGGCTAGACACATGGAAATAGACTGACGAAATGAATTTGCGCCTGTGTTCCAATGTTATAAAAATGCTTATATCTTAGTAACGGTGATGTCTGACGCACAACTGCATCGCTTGGTCTGTGGATATGATGATTGGTGACGTCATATGATAGTTGGAAAAACTGGTCTTTACTTTTCTGCATCACTGTATGAATGTATGCTGCAATATCCTATGTAGCTTTTATATTTGTTCAGTTATAAACTGTTCTTGAACAATCTATTTTTTTTACTTACTTTCACCTCAAAACACAAATAAAAATGAACTGTCGCATATATGCGGCGTTTGGTCTATTTCAAGAAAAATATGGTAATTTTCACTATTGTCTTCGCTGTAGACCGGGCGTCGCAATTATGCGACACTACAAAAGGTTATCAAAAATATAATAAGAATATACTATTTACAAACACGATTGCAGTGTATTATAAAGTAAATGATTACTGTTTAACAGGTTTTTGCCCGTGGTCTGTGTGTACTGTTAACCAAGTGACAGCCGGTCAATGTGTTAAGATTAAATTGTATACCCCGGTCAGTGGCAGTGATCGCTGCATCGCATATATGCTCGGTAGCGAACGTGTTAAGATCCCAAAAGTCACAGAAAACTATAGTGCTTAGCTAAAATAAAGTTGTCCAAACCTGATTTTTGTTTTTCACTTTACTGCAGACAATGATTAAATTCATAGTGCAGAATAAGAGAGTGAACATACATTGGGAGCAGGCAACCAGTTCTAAACTTCTAAACCAACATATGGTTATACACATTGGTTATGGCACCAACATATTGTATACCTGACTATTTCATATTCAAGTCACTGAAAAGAAAAGGATTGTCTTATCGGTACCAAAGATTGTGCGTTTTAATGATGTCCCCCCTCCCTAAAGTCACTGAAAAGTAAAATTTAGTTTGATCAACTGGTAGACAACCTGTTAACCTTTCAGAGGGCGCATTGGTTTTCAAAACGGGAGAGGGCGCACCTGGAGGTTACTTCCAGGTCAATAAAAACAAACATTTATGAAGTAAAATTTGTAGCCTATTTTAATGCACAAATTAAGTTTTATTTTTAATTTTAAACATCAAAAATGTGTTTAGTAAACTCTTAATTATAAAATAACTTAATTAAGATTTTATAAATATAAAATTAAACTATTATTCAATCGAATGTTCTAACATAAAAAAAGTATATGAAGAAAACTTTGACAAGAATATATTCAAGAAGTTAATTTAAATTTTACCACTTTGTCCTATAACGTGGTTTTAGATGATGACACTCTCAATACCTGATGTTTTAAGTAATTTAACATAATGGGTATCTTAATACTAAATGGCTCTGTACATACGTCGTTCGTAAATCTCCCTTTCAGCACTGGCTAAGAGTGTTGCAATTCGAATTTAAACTTCTTCACTCATCTTGTAAAAACTATATATTTACTAAATAATGACATAAATTGTAAAAAATAATCGTTTACAGTAATTGTTTACACCCAATAATCAACGAACACACTAAACTAGAGGTCGCATCACGGAAGTTGCCTCCAGGCTGTATGAGAATCGGCAGAGCGCACACGGAAGTTACTTCCAGCCTCTTACAAAACTGAACAAAACTAACAAATATAAAATAGTAGGGATGAGTTTTGACCTTCACTCTATTCTATGAATGAGGTGCGTGAGGTACAGTGACACTCACACTGCCGACACCACTCAAAATAATATAATCGTGAAAAATAAAACATCCCTGGAGGTTACTTCCGTGATGCGACCTCTGGAAGGTTAAGACTGTTACTATAAATGTAAGAATTTACTTTACCATCCAGCCATGTCTTTATATGGTTAACTTGAGTTGTAATAGTGTTTGCCATACCAGTGACTGCCAGTTCCTGAAAGAAAAAATTTCAGTAGTTTTTAGATATGAAACTATCAAACTACCTACTGACCATTGACTATTGGATACTGAAGTAGCCATTCCATATGGGCCAGCTGTCACCAAGTTTTTAGTAAAAAAAAACATAGTTCTGTGAGCCAGTCATAGATTGCGCTAGAGTCCAAACATCTATTTTTGTCATTATTTTTTGTTACGAAGATAGTTGATGGGGCACAACAGATGCTATATATTACAATAAGTCATCCTATATGTTTGACTTGGTTGAAAAACCTGTATATTTGTCAGAAATAAGTCATTTACATCAGCGCAATCGTTGGTGGTTTACGCCAACTATATCAATTTTGATTTTAAAACTGGTGACAAATTTAACATGGAGATGGAACGTCTAGTGCTATCAAAGTTTTTTTCAATAACTACTGATTTGAAATGTAGATTAGACCAGCTGACCAGCTGATAGTTGGTAATTTAATGATTCTGGTTGATTAAACACCTGGTTTCAGTAACAAAGCTACAAAGCTTATCCGAAGATAATTCCTCTCTAGTTTCAGGTTTGAATACACACTACTGTCTGATAAATTATGGTGATAATACCTCAATCGTAATTCTCTAAGAGTGCTTAAAACTTTGTGCCATGTCTTTAACTATACAGCGCATCTTGCATATTCTGTAGTACCTTAAGAAGACACACAATACACAAAAAATGGTGTAGCTGTAAAATCAGTCACAACATTTTGTCACATATTAGTCTCAAATCGTAGGTAGAGGTATTAGAGGCCATGGTAAATCCTTAATTTATAGTTAAATTTCCCGGTCTTAATTTTTATTGTCGGGTATTTTAACTATATTGACATTAAACTTTTTTTTTAACAGTCCAAACAAAAAAAGGTCTTGTTGTTTTAAAGGTCTTGTTATTGTCTAACATAAGCCTTGGTTTATAGTTAGATAGCAGACTATTAATGACAAATAAGTCCAGAATCTTCTTTGTATCTATCTTGATCTGCTTAAGATGCGTAATAATCATCTTGCTTCAAAAGACAAGAATATGAACCCAGCCTTTTTGAGGCTAATCACGAACCACTCGGTTACCCAGTTAATTTGTCGGTTGATTTTATTTCAACCAACGTATACAGCAAAATAAGACATCAAAGCTCAGTTAAAATGCATAAGCTTAAACTTGGATATATCACATTGTGGGTGTAATTTAAACTAGCAAAACTGGTCAGAGAAAATTTTAAATTAGTGAGTTCTAGTGAAATCTTGTAATCAAACACTCAGGAACATGATGAACGTAACATATACCATGACATGGTTTGTATGAAGCCCCATACATGTTAGCCAAACGTTTATGAATCATTGCAATCAAGATGGGCCATCGGTGTATCTGGCATTTCCCACATAGCACCGAATATTTATTTGATATCAAATAGCTATCAAATTTTTGACATTTGAATATCAAATTGATATTCACGAACATTCGTTTGATATCAAATAAACGTTCAATTTAGGTTCAAACGTCACTCAATTTTACATCAAATAAATATTCAAATTGAATATAAAATAAATATCAAATTTGACATTCATAAATTTATTGGTAAAATATAATAAAGAGAATATGATTGAATTTACATTCACATTTTAAATATGATGGTGATAAATATTGATATAACATTTTTGACATTCGAATATTAAATTAATATTCGCGAACATTCATTTGATATCAAATAAATGGTCAATTTAGGTTCAACCTCACTTAATTTGACATTAAATAAATATTAAATTGAATATCAAATAAATGTCTCATACATTTATTGGTAAAATATGTTTAGAAGAATTAGGTTGCATTTTTTTCACATTTCAAATTTCATGGCGATTAAAATAATATCAGTTCAGACTTCTTTACTGTTCTTACCTTGATTTGACTTATTATTCTGAAGTTATAGGTAGTTTGTTAAAGTTCTTGGGTGACCCAAAAATGTAAATATATATATATATATATATATTTCTTATTTGACAAAACATTAACAAAAGTATCACAAAACATATTTGTTTAAAACAAAATTGCATTCAAGGAAAACATGTTAAAGAAAAAAGTGAATTTCTCAAGTGAATTTTTAAAGAGTTTTACTATACCGCAGATTTAATACGTGATCTCTTCCTCTTCCTTAGTTGAAAATGCTGTCAGTGACAGTGAAATATTCTAATGTTTTGTGTATATAGTGTAAAGTTTTGTTTTGTGTTTCCTGTGCCAGTTTGGACTCTTTCCCATTCAGGTAAGCCTGCTATCCTCTCAAA